GGCGGGAGCCCAATCAGAGCTCCGCCCAGGCAGACAGGTAGGAAAGAGAGAGAGAAAAACAACAAACACTTGTGGCCACACTGGGCTGGCCGGGGAGGCACAGGGACCATGACAATGCACACACAAAAAGGGAGAAAAAAAGACTCAAAGAAAATCATAAAAGTGGAGAATAATATGAATGAATCTCACAGAAAAGTTGCTCTAGAACTGTAATCAATACTGGCTAAAGAGAGTATGGCCCTGTGGATGGGGTTGCTTAATTTTACATAAGGCCCCTCGCTCTTTCCCTCCCGACTTTGTGTAAAATGCACTGTGAGTCATACCTCTATAGAATAAACTGTCAGTGGGATGAGTAGTAGATTCTAGCCTGACGCTCACAGTTAGATTTAAAGGACACAGCATGTATGGAGGGTCAGCAGCGGGGGGAATTAACAGTGACCTTGCTTGTAGTGGTCAAAGACACATGCATTGGGAAGGATGGCTTGCTCTCCAGGAAATTACATTTTGCCACATTGTGAAGTGACATATGGCTCTGTGACTAAAACGCAGGCTTGACCCTGGTGGCATGGGTGTCACAGCAAATCACAAGATACTTTATGCAACACCTACTGTACTCGCTGTCGCAGTATGACATTATTTAACTGTTTTCTCTACAACAACGACAAAAAAAACGTGGCTTTATGTAAGAATTGCAACAATGGCAGAAAGGAGTCACCTTTGGTCCTGTTTTCGGGAAAACATAATAAAGTTCTCGATGCAGTTGGACTGTTCTAAATCCGCTCCATCTGCTATAATCCATTCACAATATTTCTGTTTATTATTTCAGAGTTCCCTAATACTCTTTCATTCTCTTTCCTTGTAACTGTCTGGTATTATACTGCTCTGCGATGCAGATACTCCACAAATAGATACATGTACATACATATAGTAATGAATTACCTTACATAAGTACATGATCAAATATATGCCATGTCTTGAGTAGATCGACAGCTTTAATGAACAGCATAATGAAATTACACCTGCAAAAACAATTTAATGCTTCCTCCTCTTTCTTATGTAAACTAATTTTAATCTCCATCTCATTCAGTCTTAATTAATTGCCTTGGGTCTTGGTTAATTTAGCATGAAAGGCCAGTACTAAATGAAACCTTACAGGTTGTCTTCCTCAGCCATCTGCTCAGATTTTGAGCATATGCTGAAAGTCAACACATAATCCAAACAACGACAAAATAGTATTGTATATACATAATGAAGGGGGATTCCTGCAAAATAAATGTGCCCTTCACAAACCTGATTTTAAAAAACGGTTTAACTTGACAAATTCCTTCCCGTTCACCATGTGTCAGTAACAATAAAGATTCAGCCAACTTCCATAATAACTGACTCACTCAGTCAAGCGCAGGGATAAACGGGAAGGCTCCAATTAAGTGTTGCCTGCCCAGTGATTCAGTATGTGACAGCTTCAATTAAACTGGAATGACAACTCTCTCGCGAGCTTGCTTCCTCGTTCTCCTACTACTTGAAATTGGCTGGTGAAGAAGCCGAGCTTTACTGCTTTTCTGATTTTCGCAGCATTAGACTCAGATTAGTGACTACGTCAGTCAAAGTTAGCAGGACAGGAGTGATGTTCAAAAGGCCTCATGCTTGAAGAAAAAGATGTTTATAAGTGAACACGAAACAATTGATGGTCTCCCATGAGGATATATTAGGAAATGATGCTGTGGAAATGCAAAAGAACAAAGGGGAAAGATGGCCGGTGGCTGTTGTTTGAACTCGGTT